CTGCAGTATAGGATTGAGGGCTACAGGACAGCATGGGAGAAAATGCCTAGCTCTACTGGCCAGGGTCCCTGAACGCCTTATTACGTGCGAGTCACTGGGACTGAATCTTCATAGCATTCCTAGGAGACAGGTCTTGCTGTTCCCCTTTTTACACAGGGGGTGGCTCAGTCCAGAGAGGCAGACTCACCTGCCCAAAGTCACACAGCCGAGCCAGGCTTTGCACCAGGTCCTGAGGACTACAAAGCCTTTGCATTTTTCTCTACACTACCCTGACCCCATGAAAGATGAGCAGGATGTTACCAGGTGGCCAAGGGAGGACTGGCGTTCCAGGGAGGTGGAATGAAAGGGGCAAAAAAAGCTTGGAGTGAGAGAGGCCAGGGCACTGGGGGGACTGCATGGCTGAAGAATGAGTAAAGAGAAGGCCATAGGTAGGCCGGAGCCCAGCAGCCAATGAAGAGCAGGCCAGTAGCCAGTGGGGAGGGGACGGAGCATTGGCCGAGTCTTCATTTTGGCTTTATAGCCCCCACTTGCTCTGGGCACTGGGGAGCCAATGTCGGAGGCTGGGAGCCGGGGAGCCGGCAGTGAAGGTGTGGGTGGGTTAGTGACATGATGAACCGAGGAACAATGAGAAACAGGGACAGGGAGAAAGGAACTCCCTCTGGTCATAACAAAGGAAAGTGGTAGAGTGGTGGGGGTAGCAGGCCAGGAGATGCACAGTCCTCTCCCACGCACCCCTCTGAGGGCCTGAGGTTGGGTACTGGGCTGGCTCAGGCACGAAAGATTTCTTGTTGGTCTGGAAGGAAGAGAAATGAGTGAGTAGAGGGGCCTGGTAGTCCTCATGGAAGAGGATGAGAGCCAGACGTGACCCAGGGCTGCTCAGGACAGCTGGCAGTCCCCCTGGGAGGCCCAGCTCTGTACCACCTCTCCCCTCCCCACCCCCTAGGCTCCAGGGCCTCCCCCTGCCGTGAGAAGGAAGAGCAAAGGATGGGCTCCTTCCCCGTTCTCTGACGTTGCACCCCCTCCTGTCCTTGTCCCATAGGTGGCTCTCCCAAGGCAGGTGGCTAGGGCAGCCAGACAAAGGAAGGCAGGCTTTCCCTCCCACCCACCCAGTCAGTCCTGAGCCCTTCCCACCCCGATTCCCAGAAACAGAGGAGAGTTACTGTGCCTCAGGCAGGATGGCAGTGTGTTCTCTTGGTAACTTCACTGTAAACTGACTTCCCTGAAGAGTGGTAGAGGACAAGGGACAGAGGCAGGAAGGGCACACAGGCTTCACCGAGGATCCAGAAGCTTCTTCCCCTCCCCTCAATTCACATAGAATTACTCACGGCACACACACCCCTTCCCTAGGTCCTGCTCTGTCTTCAGGGACAAGAATGGAGGCAGCCTATCTATCCACAGGGAGGTACCAGGATAGGGAGACTGGGGAGAGGCAGGGACAGTGGTCTTGGGAGTGCAGTATATGCTGAGCATGGGCCTACGGCTCCCCTTCCAAGAGCTTTGGGGCTGGGGCTAGAGAGGAGGTAGATAATCCCAGCAGAGGCAAGGTGAGGGAGAGCAGGGCGGTTAAGCCCAAGGGCTTCAGGTCTCCCTCTGTGCGCCCGCACAGAGATACTTCCTGGAATGCCTCCAGCTTTCTTGGGAAGGCTCCCCACCCCACCCTGCCTCCCCTCTGCCCTCTGGCTCCCACACCACGGGAACTCTCCTTGAAGAAGGTACTTGGAGCAGAGGAAACAAAGACAGCTCTGTACCACCTCTCTCCACCCACCCCCCACCCAGGGACGGTTAGGTCAAGGTGACCTCAATCTGTTCTCCCCAGGGAAGGGGCATGAGCGCAGCCTTCTGGGCTAACCTGGTTTCCAAGGGCAGGCCAGAAATGGGACTCGAGATGATTCTTCCCTTCCTCCATAAATTCAAACCCACCTTCATATAATGCACGGGTCAAAGGAGCAGGGGCGCGGACTGGCGTGGAGATGGAGGGGCCACACTCTGTGCCACAGAACCGTTATGGGCTAGCCCAGCCAGAGGAGACACCTTCCCTTTGTGGGTGCGTGCTGGGGTCGGGGGATGTCGGGAAGGCTATACTGAGACCTTCGCATGGGGCTGGGCCCCTTGGATCGTGGAGCCAGCTGTACACTTACTGGCCGGATGGTTGTGGACAGCTCTCCTTTCTGGGCTCATCAAATGTAGCTCTGCCCACCTTCAAGGTTGTTGCAAGGATCAGTTGAGTTAAAGGGTACAACGATGTTTGTATACTAATGTGCCACGATTCAGTTCGGGCTGTGTCTTTAGTATGCTAACCACAAACTAGGCTAGGGATTATTACTATTCCTAATAATATTTTATGGTCAGTCTTCTTTGGGGGAATGCATTCCCATATGATTTTTATAATCCTTCCTCACTCCCCATGTAATGTTGTATCTTGGAATTGGGAATGAGGGGCAATTAGCAGAGGCCAGCCTGGGACTCCAGCTCAGTCCAGACCCGAGGCAGTTTCTGATCTTCCTGAACCCCATCCCATAGGCCTCAGTTTTCTCCTCTATAGTCTGGGCCCCTGAAACCACCAGAGTGCTTTGTGGTGGGAAATAGCAGAGACCAAAGCAGGGGACTGAAAGCAAAAAGAAACCCCAAATTTGACATTTCCGGGTAGTTGTGTTATCCGGAGCCACGACCACAGTCACCTCTGCCCCCAACCCAACTTTGACACCCTTCCCTCCTCCACTCCCTTGGGTGGCCTTTGCCCATCCTGGGAAAGCTCCAAAGCTCCTCCTTCTCCCCATTGCATCGCAAAGGGACGAGAGAGGCACAAGGAAATGGAGAGAAACCCAGACAGAAGCAGAGAACCAGAGACCAGAGACCTAGAGAGAAAGAATCAAAAGGAGGAGGGAAATCAAAAAGCAAGAAGAGGCAACAGGCAGTGAAGAACACTGGGATTCAGGGCCTCACAGACAGAGACCAGATGGGGAGAGAGCCAGAGTTAGCCAGGGGGGTGGCTGTAGCCACTGAACGCAAGGTGGGGGCACAGCAGGCGACTCTCTGAAGCTATGGGGGCACATCCATTTAGGCCAACCCCTCCAGTTTGGCTCACTGGCACCTTAGTCCTAGTTTTTTAGGACCCAGGACTATCCACCTTCGAGCCCAGCCCAGCCCAATCTAGCCAGGCGTTTGGTGGGTGCAGCTGCCTGCTGGAGCAGCAGGTCCCTTGCAGGCCCTGAGGAGCAGGCTGGAGAGGCGGCTGCCTGGCAGTGGGCAGGCAGGGCTCCCACTCTGGACTTGGTACCCCCATATCACCTTCTCCAGATGCCCAGAAGTGGGTACATGGCAAGGGTGGTCCCCTGCCTTCCAGATGTGGCTCAGACGACTTGGGATCCAAGGACTCTCCTCCCAATCACTGGCTTACCCATCTGCCGGAAGTGAGAGGCTGGAGGGCACAAACCCTCCGTGTAGCAATGGGTTTGCATCTGTCCCCGACAGATGGTGTGACCCTGGCCAAGTCACTTCCTCTCTCCAGTCTCTGTTGCCCCATTTGTAAAATCATCTCTACAGGTCTTTCCAGCTCTGACACTTGACCCTCATTCCAGGTGACCTCCTAGCTCTGTGTGTCTGGCCCTCCTCCACCAAATGAATTGCCCAGAGTGAGGGAAGAATCGAGGGAGAGGCTGTGTGCTTCTTCCTCCAGGAGACTAACAGACTGCAGCCATGTGTGTGAGACGCAGACATCCCAGCTTCTGGAACTGGAAACTTGGCTTGTTCTCTGAAGGAAAAAGAATGAAAGTGGGGGAGGTCCTGAGGGGCAAGAAGGTGGGGGAGTAGTGTGAGGTGGGGAGGGAATGGAGAGAAAAGGGCAGACCCGAGAAGGCATAGGGAGGGAGGGAGGTAGATGAGAATGATTCCCTCCAGGACACGTGGTCCTGGCCTGGCGAGGCCCTCCCCTGGTGCTGCCAATCCCAGCTGCCAGGCAGAGGGGAGGCCCAGAGGAGAGGGAAGCTGGGCAAAGGGGATGGAAGGCTTCCAGCCCAGCCTTGCTCAATTCTGCAGGCCCACCCTCCTTGAGCCTTGCCTGGGTCACAACCCCTTCCTTGAGAGCCCCCTACAGGGCCTGCAAAGGCCCACCGGCAATTGTGAATTTGTGAGGATTCAAGACAGCCCCTCCGGACCTTTCTGAAGGTAGGACCAGCCTCAGATGTGACTGGACTGGGTGAGCAGAGGGGCAGGATCATTTATGGATCATAGTCTGCAGACCAGACCATATGCCTGCTGTGTGACCCTGGGCAACTCCTTCCCCTCTCTGGACTTGCATTTCTTATCTGCAAAATTTGGGGGAGGGATTTGAAACTTAAGACTGCCAAGGTTCTTTCCTGTTTCCACTGCAGGGGCGAGCCCAGGGTGGTGGGAGTAATGGAAGGAGGGGAGGTGGGGCCCTGGTGGTGAGCTGCCTTCTCTGGAATCCCCAGTCTTTCCCCTCCCTAGGGCTTTGCCGCAGAGGTCACAAAAGCTGTGTCCCCAACACACACACACATTTACATTTACTTTTTTCATCTAGAGACTCAAAAGATGACAAACGCAGAGCTGGAAGCCATCTCCAGCTAGTCCAACCCTACCCTCCTCCCTTTTTACAGGTGAGAAAACTGAGGCCCTGGTTTGGGATTTCCAGAGCCCGGGGTTTCCGGGCTCTCCCACCCCCATCCCCCGCCACTCCAGCGCCTGCTGCCCGCGGTCGGGGGCCCGCGGGCGAGGGCTGCCTGGGACTCCCGGGGGACCCCGCCGTCGGGGCAGCCCCCAGGCGCGGCGTCGCCCAGCCTCGCCGCAGGGGCCCGGCCGCGGCCGCCGCTGCGCACTCGCGCGGGAGCCAGCGACCGAGGGCGGAGGCAGGGAGGGAGCGACAGAGGCTGGGAGGGGTGTTGGCGAGAGCTCGCGCGCTGTGTATGGTCTATCGGAGGCAGCTGACCTTCGAGGAGGAAATCGCTGCTCTCTGCTCCTTCCTGTGGTACAGCCGCCGCCGCCGCCGCCGGGAGCGCGGCCCGGGAGCGAGAGCCGCGGGGCGGACAGCCGGCCCCGCCGCCAGACGGCTCGGCGCCACCAGGTGGGTGGCCCGGCAGCGCGTCCCGAGCGGCGAGCGCGGACATGGGGCCCTCGACTCCCGTCCCGGGCCCCCGCGCCCCGGGCCCCGGAGCCCGCCGGCTGGCCGGGGCGCGGGGACGGGTGTCCCGGACCGAGAGGGAGCTTTGGCGCGGACGCGGGGCGCGGGACGCTGGACGCGGAAGGAAGGAGGGGGCCGCGGGGAGCAGGGGGCGCTGTCGGGCCGGACAGTGGGAGACCGTGGGGGCACGGCTGGGGGGCGCCTCCGTAGAGACAGCGTCTGTCACCCCAGCCCTCCCTCCTCAACCACCCCAGCCACGTGCCGGCGGGGACCGAGCCTTTCGGTGGGAGCCGTCGGTGCCCTAAGTTTGGGCTGGAATAACACCCGACCCCCCAGCCCAGAAATTGGGACTCGGGGCTCGAGGCGGGGTGGGGGGTGTGTGGGGGTGGTTCTTGCAGCCTTCCCCAGAGGGCCCGTGGGCCTCCGCGTCAAGTTTCTCTTTCAGTTTTCTAGCTGTCCCCCCTCTGGGGAAGCCCCGGTGGGGCGAGGGGAGAGGAAGAGGGGGAGGGCACCTGACTTTCAGGAGCCCCTCCCCAAGCCTCAGCGGGTTCCTTGTTGGAGGGCAGGGCGGCCGTCCCCTCCTCACCATCTTTCTTCCCGCACAGGAAAGCGTGTCTGTGGGAGGGGAGGGGCCTGGCCTGACCGCGGTCCAGGGATGGGTGGGCATGGCAGGGTCAGAGGCAGGCCCGGCCCTCTCTCCTGTCGAGGAGCCGCCTCTGCAGCCCTCCGCTCGCCCTAGGTGAGCGGACATGGCGGGCTGGATCCAAGCCCAGCAGCTGCAGGGAGATGCGCTGCGCCAGATGCAGGTGCTGTATGGGCAGCACTTCCCCATCGAGGTTCGGCACTACTTGGCGCAGTGGATCGAGAGCCAGCCATGGTAAGTCCCCCTGCCCTGAGCCGCCCTCTGCGGGGCCTACACAGGCCCTTTGACCTTTAGCTCTTCTCTTTGTGTTTTGGTGTGATTCTAGTCCTTTCTGTCCCTCTCTGCAGAAGGGATGGTGTCTCTGGGAAAGGGGAACAGGGAAAGGGGACCTTGGGAGGGGAGAGGGGGTGTTTCTAGACTGTGATGCCTGTGGAGTTGCCCAGAACAAGTCTTGTGGGCTCTGGAGTGCCCTTAGTCTGGAGCCTGGGATTTCCCACTCCTTCTTGGTGCCTGACCTCCTTGCCCAAGGAGAGGCCACAGTAGTCTTCTCTCCCCTGCCCTGCCCCAAGGGATGCCATCGATCTGGACAATCCCCAGGACCGAGCCCAGGCCACCCAGCTCCTGGAGGGCCTGGTGCAGGAGCTGCAGAAGAAGGCAGAGCACCAAGTCGGGGAAGATGGGTTCTTACTGAAGATCAAGCTGGGGCACTATGCCACACAGCTCCAGGTGGGTGTGTACACGGGGTCATCTGCAGGAAAGTAGTGTCTGCCTTCCCTTTCCAGCCACAGAACCTCTGGGTTTTTTCCTGGCCTGGTCACTGACTCACCGTGTGACCCTGAGCTAATCGGTAACATTTCTGCTCTTCAATTTCCCCCACCCCCTCTTTCAAATCAGGCCTGTCAGATTCCTTTAGCACGCTACAAAGCAAGGGGTGGGGTGTGTTTGTCCCCAACAGAAGGGAGATGGGTGAAGTGGCATTCTAAACAGATCAAGCAAAAGGATGGAGGTAGACTGAGTCAAGAGTCCTTTGTTCGAGAAAGGAAGACCAAAAGCTCCTAGAAATGAGGGAATGAGGCAACCAGGCACCCCTCCTAGGACTCTTTTAAAGGTGCAAGAGGAGCAGAATTGCCCTGGAGGCAAGAGCTGGATAAAGGAGTGTTGAATGAAGGATGTAGTTGTAAGATGTGCCTTCTCCTTCACTGGGTGGGGCTTGGGGGGGGTAGTGGAGGTAGCAGGGAGAGTATAGGGAGGGGAGAGAGGAAGTTTTTGTGGAACCAGGACAGGGGTGTGGGTGGTAATCACAGTCAAGCATTTATTGGAACTTACTTGTATTTCTCAGAGAACCCTTCTTAAATATAAGCAGCAGGGTGTCAGGGAAATAAAAAGTCCATCCCAGAAGAGGGAGGGAATGGGAGAAAGCTGGAAGAGGAAGGCAAAATAGGAACCCAAGGCCAGGGCAACGGTAGAAAGTACCTTGACCTTGGCATTGGATGCCCCAAGTCGAGTCATCTGCTCACTTGTTTGCCTCTGGACAAGTACTTAACCTTTCTGAGCATCAGTTTTCTCATCTGCAAAATGGGGATAATAGTTTCTGCGGATGTCAGGGTATCTATCCTCTGAAAGTCAAAGGAGATAGTAGATTGGAAGCACTTTGGAAACTTTGGAAACTGGGTTTCTGATGCACTGCAAACCAAATATGAAGATCTTGGAGGGGAAATCAAGTCAAGGAGAGATAGAGGTGTCTGGTGACAGTTCCTGAGGTTTCCTGAGGAAAGCTGAGGCAGAGGCTGGCGGAGAGG